TTTTTTTTACGGTTTGTTATCTGCCTCTCATATGCAAGTGAAGGTGCAGAATGTGGTCTAAAAAACCCAGCCAACCAGAAAATAAAACCCCAACCTCCGACAAACTAAAAAATTAATTAAAAAAAAAACTAACAAAAAAATATCTAACCAAAAACCCCAAACCTCTACAAACTTACAAAATCATCGACTTTTGTATTTCAGAGCCTGTCTTTAACTCGAACCCTCTTCCTAGAGAGAGGTTCTTTGACTTGGTACATAGATTTCTCAGACAATTTTTGCAGTAGAGGCATCTCTTCCCATTCTGAATATATATTTACAACTCCAGATATATACGCGAAATATTCTGCAGTTAGACACTTGAATAAGCTCCATTTGCACCCTCACAACTSTCTGCATCGTTTAGGGTGTACACCCGTACTTCTGCTCTCCTACAGTATTTAGCTGTATAGGTGTCCTTCTAACCTGAAGATTCAAGGTTTAGATGAAYACTAATATATGTCAATCTTTAACACCGTGATTTCTGAGTAAACAGAAGTAATTTCTTGGTCTTTCAAGCTTTAGAAATTATTGTTTGAGTGTAARTATCTCTAAATTATACAAAGCATCAATGTATGTGGCCTACTAAGAGGGAAAATAACCCATTAAAATTTACTTTGTCTGTATTAGCTTCTGTGGTATTGCAATATTTGAATGCAATCCAGTTTCTATAACCCAGTTTTAAAAATACTGGGGAGAATAGACTACTATCGGGAAAACACACACATAAGAAAAAAGTTGTAGCAAACTGAAACTGCTGTAGAATCAGCAACAGTTTGCTGTTGAAGTCTGTAGAASAAGGAGAAGAGCCGAGGCAAGTGTACCTGCATTTGTACTCAAGCACTTTTCCCCAAAGTTTGAGGGGAGACGGGCAGGTAATTGTGGCCATGTGCACTGCAGCTGCTTGTAGTACCCATGCGGGAAGGGACCAAGTGACCTAAAGCCCGAGGCCAGGAGAGAGGGATGGAAATGAAGTACTTAGAGCAGTAAATGTTAAGTGCTTAAAGCAAATATGTGAGAATGAGCCTGATTGCTGTGGTTCTTCTGGGGAGGGTCTGAATGTCACATTTCCTACTTCAGATGCATTCTGTAATGATTGCTATAAAAATCGTGATAGATTGTACTTTTGCAGTAATAGGGTAGGACTGATCATAGTATGAGCGACATATTATGATAATCTTTTTTATCTATAATATATCCTTAGTAATATATCCTTTTTACCTATAATATATCATTAGTAAATGACTTTTCCCGAGCGGTAGATATAGCGCAACCAAAGGATGCCTCGACCTTTCTCCCGCTCGTGATCARYTAAAGGTCGCAGGTCGGGTGGAGAAAAGCCGAGGCTGGATCCATGTCTCCGTGGCAAATGCCCCATCCCCGCGAGCTGCCCGTGGGTGAGGCAGAGCGACAGCGCTCGGTGCCTGCAGTGCCGGGAGGAGGCTGCGGGCGCCGCTGTTGA